AGGGCGTGAGTAACCGTTTGAAGTGCCTCCCGATCCAAACAGGGCCGCAATTGGTGCACCAGGCGAACCTGGGCAAATGCCCCTCTGGTCACAGCTGACAGATGATGTTCCAGTGTCAGCTGCGAATCCAGGAGGACCCCCCAAATTGCGGGCCCTCTCTGAGAGGTGTAAATTTTCACCCCCCAGGATTAAGGATGGACTGTCTAGGCCGTCCTTCGGGGGCAGCATCCAAAGCCACTCAGAAAGAAATACTATACCCACAAGTGCCTAATAGAAAGAAATATGACATTTTTTCCTGTCCCCCCCTCCCCAAACTCTCTCATTCCTATTTCCTGCCATATGTTGACCATTGGTGAAATATGGCAGCCATGTTTTCCACTGCCTCCTATCTTGAAACTCCTGTTCCTTTTCTCAATGGAGGATAGAGGAGTTATTTTAAAAGTCACTCTCTCCAGTGGATTAGAAAAGAGGAAAGATTAAGGTAGCTTCCAGTAAGATACACTTGGATACACTGTAGTGAGAATGTGTGGATTTATTGAATCTTAAACAACTCTTTCTTTGTATGTGGGAGATTGTACAAGCCCAAAGGCACACAGCAATAGCATATACTGCTCTTTGGCAACTCTTGTATGTTATATGTTACCACTGAGGCTCAAATAACAAAGCAAGTTGCACATATAGTACCCTTACTAAAAACGGAACAATAAAAAGAAAAGAGTTTTCACAAAACTGGGTTAATGTAATGTGTCTGAAAGAATATTGTAAGAGTGCAAGCTACAGTTCTTCCCAATGCAGGCATTAATCTAATTATTCTAATTATTAGTAAAATAAGCAGTTTAGAGTTTATGCTACAAATAGTCACAATTGCAAAAGAAAATTTCTCAGAGCAGTTTGTATGAAAAATATATGGAAGGACTATCTGTCTGTATTTATGAAGAATGAATCCTTTCAATACTTGCCATTTGTGCCAATGTTCTCCCAATTTCTGTACCAAAGACTCTGTCAAGAAACATATTCAAAAGCATCTTTTAAACTGTTTAAACTCTAATTTTTTCTATGGTTGAGAATTAGAGCAAACTATAAAACACTAAATCAGGATGAAATGCTAATATGCAATGTGTGTTCGTAAGTGGCTAGCAAAAATGAGTTTCTTTTGGTTATGTAAATGAAACAATTGTATATGTTTTGTTAAACATTTTCATTTCTTGGATTCACATTTTTTAGATAAAATTATGATGAGATGATGGGAGGTGGGCTAGCATAAATGCTAGTTAATGCCCAGATTAATATGATTTACTGTTTATTTTAATAGGACGAAGCCTGTTGGAGCTTGGTGGAAACAATGCTATTATTGGTAATTAATATTTTCATTTAAATCTGATTAATTCTTGGTTCATTGAATAAGTACAGAAACTAATACTGTACATTGGCCAGATATAGGCTTTTTAATGGTCCATTTGAATAGTTGATTAAAATGCAAAAATGTTTTGGTAATGGACTATTAATGCTTGAGTTTGAGTGCTGAGAATGCTTTTTGAATTATATGCATATTATTTTTTTCTGGCAACTCTCACTGTCTCTATTTTTTTTTCTGCTTCATTATTTGGTTATACTTTATTCCGGCCCACAGTTCAATAATCTACTAATCTCACTGCATAAGGTGGGTAGATAATAAGTCACAAAGTGCCTTTTATTTCTAGTCATCAGCTGCCCTTTTTCTCTTTTTCATCTTCACTTTGGTTTATACAGCAGAAGACAGTTAATGCCTCTAATGACTGCCCTAAACTTGCTACTTTTCCTTGGCAATCATGGAATTGCTGGCCTGCAAATCTATTCTGACTCACTAAATTGATTCATTCAATTTCTGGAGTTTTGAGTAACACCTCTTCTCAAAGCTCACTGTTCTCATATTCCCCCCCCACCCCAGGGATTGCCTGCTGTCCTAAGTGTTTCTTGTCTCCCCTTGGGCTTCATCAGATGGTCTTGCTGACATTTTGAGTTCCATATGTTTTCTGTGTCATATGAAAAAGTCATAGGAGAAAGTCAAATTACAAGTTGTCTGAATCAGTGGTGATAACAGTATCCCTTTTATGACTGCCAGAATTCATGAATTCCCCATTGAACCATGCACTGTCTTCTGGAACAGAAGAGTAGATTAAGTTGGGGGAGGGGACTAAATGTGTTGTGGCTGGCCTGATTGTATTGGCCCTGTAGATAAGAGAAAACCCTGAATTTAGTCCCTGAATTGAATAAGTTATGGAAACCAAGGGCTGAGATTTTCAGATACTGATATTACTATAAGTGGAAGGTACTATACTGAACTATACTGAAAACTTTAATGTTCTGATGATAATAGGAATTATGCATGGAATTTTAAAAATTCCATTCTGCTGCTGCTGCTAATTTTAAGAACTTTCTGCTTTGTATATTTTGTTGTATTTTTCTCATCATCATCAAAGGGAAAAAAGTTGTTCTTTCCAACTCTGTACAGATCTAGAAGACTTCCTTGAATCAAAACAAAGTTTGTTTCATAAAGTCTATATCACTGACCTTTGCAGATGTTTTGTTTTGGCTATAAATGTCTGTGATATATTTAGAATAAAAATTGTTGACAGACTTTCACCAGTAGTTGTTGTTTAATTCCTTGTAGTTGGTATTTATTTTGCTTATATTTTGCATTGAGCCATCACATTCTGCTTCTGTTCCTTGCAGCATTTGAAGATGCAGATCTCAACCTGGTCATCCCATCTGCCCTCTTTGCAGCTGTGGGTACAGCAGGCCAGAGGTGCACAACTGCTAGGAGGCTGGTAAATAATTCTTACTATCTTTCTGTATTTTGATATCTGGATTGATGGACTGATAGATAAATAGGCAAACAGAGAGATAATAGATAGATAGATAGATAGATAGATAGATAGATAGATTTAGATAGATAGAGATAGATAGATAGAGTTAGATAGAGATAGATAGATGGATGGATGGATGGATGGATGGATAGATAGATAGATAGATAGATAGATAGATAGATAGAGTTAGATAGATAGAGATAGATAGATAGAGTTAGATAGAGATAGATAGATGGATGGATGGATGGATGGATGGATAGATAGATAGATAGATAGATAGATAGATAGATAGATA